TCCTGCTGAGCACACTAGGAGAGCTAGCACGACTGCTAAGGGTACATCATTTATTGCATGGTAATGCACACAACTCTTAAGCCTTAATATTGTCTGATAATGCAGATCAGTACTTTGGCCAGCATCTAGTCAGGACAGTGGAGCTGTTGAGAGAATCCAGCAGGTGAGGAAAGACAAACTGAGTGCTGATATTCATCATTATGCGGAGAGAAATGTATTTGGAGGAATTTCACCTCTCTTGATTGAGGAAATGCATTAGCTATTAGTCATCAACTTTTGTAACTGGGAAGGGGAAAGGAGTGTGACTCCATTGCTGTTAAATTACCATTACAGCAGAACCAAGTCCAGCTATTTATTCATCCATGTACTTGCAGGCTGCTGCTCATAAATATTCTCCATTAAAAGAATCCCCTAAATGTCTAGATATAAGGTGAAAAGGTAGCTTCTCTTTTTTCTTCTTCTTTTTTTTTTTTTTTTAAATACAGGGTAACTATCCACACTTGTGATGCATCACTTGAAATACAGGGCACTGGGTAGTAATAAAGATTAAAAGTGACAAAGACAGCTGTTTAATGATGTGATATTATTTATCTAAGGCTCAAAGAATCATACACTTCATAACAACAGAAAGAAACACAGGCTCTGTTCTGAGGAGCTCAGAGGCTAACCAAACAACAAAACAATGACGGATGGTATCCAACAAGGACATGAAGGAGGCATTATGCTGTTGAGGCTCTGCTTATCTTCAAGCTCAATACAAGCAGAGGATGAGAGATGTGGTTAACTTTAAAGAAGGAGCACAGAGTAATAGGATTAAGCAGGATAGACCAAGTGTCAAAGCAGGAATATGCATGAGAAGAGGCAAAGAAAAGAGAGTGGGTGATGGAAAGAAAAAGGCAATTGAGTCATGAAACTTGGCTAGACCAGTGGATAAGGAAGTGAGTAGCTGAAGCTTTGGAGGGAATGACGTAGTCACAGAGATAGGCAAGAGCTAGGGTGTTTCTCTTTGGCAAAACAAGAGAAAAGCCCAGGAACAGATGTGGAGAACATCCAGACTTAGCTGTTGCAGCAGCAAAGTGATAAATTTAAGCAACCCACTGCTGAAGAGACCACAAGTTTAGGACAAGAATAGAGAAATACAGCTGTGGCTGAGATAGGAGATGATCTCAGCCACACATTAATGAGAAAGAACAGAAGCAGCAATACTACGCAGCACTAGAGAAAGAAGGACTTAATAACACATGATGAGAACTGTTTTGTGTGCAATACATTCACTTCATAGCCTCCTCGTGGTTCATCGCTTCTGACTCTGACATGCCCTAAATAATAAAATAGAGGCCAAACTACAGATGTGGGAAGAGGCCACTAGTATAAACATAACCTAAGGGCAACAGGCTTTTGAAGCTGTCTGTAAATACACACTTTAGTCTGAAACTAGAGACAGGTAGCCTCTTGCAGTGATCTGTAGTAGAAAAACAGTACGTATCACAGCCTACGTGCCTGAAGTGCTCAAACGTAAAGCCTAGTATAGCCCTATTTCCATAACTTCTAAGACTACTTTTTTGTTCTTCATTAATATATAGCCAGACAGAAGTTTCTTAGGACAGGCTGGAATTAAAATGTTGTGCCTGCTCACATAAATGCACAAAAAGAAACAGTGTAAGTTTTCAAAACTGACTTTAAAACTTTGTTTTCCTTGGAATTGTGAATAGTCTATAGTAGGAAAAGAACCTGGAACAAAATAAAAAGTCTATAAAAAATGACTGGTTAACGGTAACAGATGTGTATCTTTAAAATCAGATTTGATTAGGTAGTTAATATACTATGCACACAAAAAGCTTGCTTTCTAAAACTAAACCCAAACCCTGGTGTTTTACGTAGCTTTACACACTCATTGGCAATCTCATTATCCATTTGTTTCTCTATGGTTTTTAGTCATTCACAACAAAAGCAATACACACAAAATTCACTTAAGGAATTCAGTAATGAATGACAGCTTCTCAACTCAGTCTGGAATTTGTGCAATACAAAAAATGCAACACCAACAGGACAGGCAGCTCCAGAAAACAGGGCCACAGCATGTGAGCCAAGGCTGAAGTTTCAAAAAATTGGTGTGCATTTCAATTTTTAAAACACTGCAGGTGACTGTCTATTATTTATGCACAAATGCTATGACTATAATAATCATTGTGTTCTTGAAAGTGGTGTATAATTATACAGATACAGATTTGAGAAAGCAACTTCATGACTAAGTTCCTTAAAGTTATATTTTAAAGGCTTTTCTTTGACTGTGAAGATCTTTTTGGTGCGCTGCATACTGATTTGAATGAGTACTATGTAACAGCAGGCTATTTTCAGCTTCCAAAAGTACCAGTTCATGGCTTGAGCTATCTGTCAGCAATGTGTAACTGAACAGTCATTTAAGTATGATGCCTTGTTGTCAAAATCATATTATTAATTCCTGTGGATGAATACCACAGCAATTACATCCACAATCCACCAGATCTTTGATCAAGGCAAGCACATGACTGAATAATTTTTATATAGAAACTGACTTGCTTGTTTTTCTTCTCTAATTCTATAACAGACAGTAATTAATTCATCTCAAGCAAGCCTGTCCATCTGTTAGATGCTGAAACACATTTAGGGCCATTCAGAGAGGTAAGAAGGTGATTTTATTAGGTCTGGAAACATTTAAAACTTTCTTGCATGTATTTTAATTCTCATTTGAGCTGAAATGCAATTTCAGATGCAGCTCAGCCAAATACTTGAAATAGCTGGTCTGCAGGCTGTTACTGCAGCACAGACTCTTCAGATGCATTAAAAACAGTAGAAGGGAAAAAGCACAAATAGAACCAGACAGGATAACATACAAGAAATACAACGTATCCATGTGTTACTGGGCTGAAGTAGCAGGATCCTCTTCCTGGAAAATAGAAGTGGTCCTATCTCCTTCTCTTACAACCAGTGTGCCTGAGACCAGGCAGCATAGCAGCAGAAAGTTGTGCAGAAGCTCAAAGAATTCGGACAATATCAGCAACAAGTTGTCTGAGGGAAATCATGATGTGTAAGGGGAAAGCATTCGAGACACAGCAACACCAGGAATGAAGTGGTATTACACAGAATGCTTGACATGGAAAGGAGTGAACTAAGCATTTGTATTATTTATAGCCCAAATCTTCATTGTTTTTTGAAGGAATGGAAGGCGAGGCGTAACAAAGCTCTGCAAGCCAACGTACCTAACCCAATAATGCCCAAGGTCTCCCCTCTGATCCTGGCAGCTCCAGAAGCCACTTCCCGAATCTGCTCGACGCTCTGTACTCTCGTGCCTTCCCGCAGAGCCTGGTGCAGCCAGGTGGTTCGCCTGTACAGGTTCAGGATGTGGCACATGGTAGAATCTGCTGTTTCTTCTACTGAGGCAGCTGGCACATTGCACACTGCAATCCCTGCAAAGAATGGACACAGGATACCAGTTGCCAAATGTTTCTTACTTCTTCCCATTTAACAATAATTCAGGAGTATGATGTTTAAATTTGCAGATATTTCAACACTGTTTTGAAAACACTGTTTCTGACCATAATGGAGACAGAACACTTGACATAATAGTTGATAAACATGTGTAAACTTTTTTTTTTTTTTTGACTGTTTGCAAACTAAGGCAAAGAGTAAACAGACAGTGAAAACACAGAAGTAAAGCAGAGAAGATGTCAGGTAGTTTAGAACACAAGTTGAGGTCTTTATAATCATTTTACATGCACATTGTGCTTGGTGTTTTGAGCAGCAAAGAGAAATCTGCCCTTCTCTCAACAGTGTGGTTAATGATCATTGTTTAGATTTAATTGCATAGAGTTAGTTTTCCATCACTTACACATATACACTCCCAAAAGTTGTTTAAACAAGTTATAAAAAAGATAAAATAATTTATAATGACAGCAACTCTTACAAAGTCCTCGCAGGATGACTATTATTATTTCCAGTTCACATGTTACCATGACACAGGGAGGGACAATTTTTTTTCATGCTGCACATGGATTTGTAGAACTATGGCAGACAGAATCCAAAGAACATCCTGGTCCCTCAAATTAAAGAGATAACCCATCAAATTGTCAATAAGGAAATAGAAAATCTGCTTCTGCATGGCATGTAAAGATAACAGAAAATTAAGTCCATGTTCCTAGTAGCTGAAAAGTCACTAGGTGAAAAAGAATGTAACATCAAGCAGCTGAAAAGACCATTGGGAGGTTTCGTTGTGGAAGATGGATTGATTCAAGACTCACAATAATTCCTTTTTTTACTTCAGAAAATGGATCAGGCAACAAGTGACTGTAATTGCACGTGAGTTACACCATTCTGCTTTCTACCTTCTAGTACTCAACATACAGCAGTTAAGTAAAATGTTCACTTGAGAAAGTTTGTGTCCTTCTTGACATGTCTCTATTCATCCTTTCTGTTTACTGCATGTTTTTTCTCTAATCATCAGCTCCCACAAATGTTTGCCTCTCAGTTCTGCTGACTGAGATCACAAACAGTACACAGTGTAATTTCACAGTGAAGAAAAAATTGTATCCTAAAAAACACCCTAATAGTGTTTTCCCTGTCTAGTTTTTCGGGTTTTTACATAAATAAATATTCAGTGAGCCCTCAGCTAATGCCAGTCTATCTTATGAAGCAAGGAGGAAAAACATGCTCTTCAGTACTAGTAATAACAATAATCTGAAAAATAATAGGCTCATACCATATTTGTCCATGTTTTACATTCAAGTGCCTTCATTCTGCTGCACTTTACATTTTTACAGCTTTCTTTAGATCAGTAAAAAACAACTTAAGCAACCTGCAGAACTATTTTTCTCTCCTCTGCTCTGGAGATAGTGTCTGCTGAGTCACTGCTCTTAGATTTATAAAACCATAAAAAACAGGATTATTTGCTGGAATATTAATCTTGGCATCCTGCCAGCATCAACGGTACAATGAAACTCATCATTTTTAAAATGGAAAAAAAGCACAACTGGGAGAAAAAGGACACGACTGAAAGATAACAAGCCTTTAAGTGCATCACACTCAACTGCTGCATTTGTTTATACCCAGAATCTTTTATCATGGAGCAAAAATGCAGGTTTTATTTGGCAAAACAGATTTAATAAGCATGTCTCCTGATGGCTGGCATAAACAAAGTAATGGTTTAAAAAGAACTTTAATAGTTATATTATATATTTGGGAACAGAAATAAGGATTTTAACTCACCTTATACCTTCCCCCTAATAGGTTTCCTTAAGAAATATGGGGGGAAAAAATCCAGGAATTTATCTCCTAAACATCATTAATTTCTTTTTCCCTATTTCCTCCAAACTTAAACCAGCTAATTTCAAAAGGCAGAGACAGCTGACCCACAAAAAACAGTAGGTGAGTATAAAAAGAAAAGAGATATTTCACATAGAAAAGAGAGCTCCCTCTCATCTCACATCCATCACTTCTGTACTCCCTTCCCCTTCTCCTTTTCCCACCACTTCCAGTGATCTTGTGCACAGGTTCAATGCTGAAACTGCAGGAGCCAACAGGCATCACCACAACTCCTGCATCACTTCGTCCAGCCATGCCCACAAATTGTACACCTTATCAAGTCAATAATGATAAAGTGGACAGGAAGTAGACCAGATCTTGATAATTTTATCCAAGGAACGTTTGTTTCCAGGCATTTTAAGTAGAGTAGAAGCGTTAATATGAGAACAATACTTAATAGGAAAAGCTGGTAATAACTCCACAAGCCCTTTTTTTGAAAAATATCTCCAAAAGTTACTACAGAAGTTGAAGAGTATGTCAGACTTTATGGTCTAAGCCTACACTACATTTGAAGAGTGAATTAAAGCTTTTTACAAAGTGCAATTTACTCGCATATCACCTCCTTGAGATGTTTTTTGTTTGTACTAGTTTAACAAAGAGAAAGTCATTTGTCCCAGCAGTGGCAAGCTAGTATTTAAATCCAACCATTTCGCCCCAACTGTGAAAATCAGAGATTTGACACCATAAACCTTCCAGCATTTATTTGCTTTCAACAAAGTGGACAACTGTACTTTGTAAATACTGGAATGCACAAGTGGGATAGATCCCAACTCTATAACTCAGCCCAATGACACCATAGGAACTGAATGATTAGGAATGTGGCCATTTAGCATTTCACAGGAATAAAAATTTCCCAAATCTGCTGTACTCTAGCTTGAATAATGATGTGGAAGCATTCAAATTATGAACTTGGGTTACAACCCAGAATGGAGACTTGCAGAAACAGCTAACAAACCCACAAAGATTTTCCTCTTACCAGGGATTCTCTGCAGAAATCGGACGCCTGACTGGTCGAGGCCTTTGACCTGTACCTAGGTTTTGGCTTTTCATTTAGGATTTTACCCCATGCCAACCTCTACATATATATGTTTTCTGGGGCTCACAACACACGCTCCTAACTGTGGCACTAGTTACACTATGTAAGAACACAGCCTCGTGTGCTTTCAGACCTGACCTGTTCCTTATAGAAACTCACACAGAAGCTGTTAACCTCTGCCTGCTGTGTAAACCACACTGCCTTTAGAAACAGGTGATTATTTTACTATCATCTACTGATAAACGCAGCATATTACACCTCCTCACTACATCAGTGAGGTTATTATTAGGACTGAGAACTGTCACATTGAAATAAATGTTTCTAAGGCCTTGCCAGAGCATAATGGAATAACACAGGTGGTCACCTCAGTCTTAGAAAAGAAACTAAGAAAATGTACACATTTGTTCTGAGTGGTAGTTTGACCTGTAGATTACAGGTAAGAGATAGTTTATCCTAAAGTAAGAAAAGTCCAAATCAGATTGCTGCTTTTTTACAGTGGAACACTCACCGTCATCTCTTCATAGTTCCAGTCTATGACTTTATTCTGAAGCAGCAACAACTGATTGGCCTATAAAATCGGTATTTCTATTTTATGGAGTGGTTTAGTACTAAATCTCATGCATCATAAATAAGTCTCAGACAGTTGATAATGATCTCATTTTTTATTCAAACAGAAGTAGTATGCCATGCTGATGGAATTATATTTTGTGATTGGATTACAGCAGTAGTAGTTAAAATATACAATTGGGGTAAAAAAAGAAAGAGATGAAAAATTACGGCCTCACTCCTCGGGTTTATACTGAACAGGCAGATTGCTGTCATGTCACAAAGCTGTTAATATTATCATTTAATTAACTAATGCTGGTATCTCCATAATGATTTTTAAACACTTTGATGAGAAAATTATACAGTTATATACTATGTTAGTATAAATTATACAGAAAGCATTAATGCAAAGACTTAGATTACATCAGATTTCTGGAGGCAAGTATAAGATGCAAAAGAATGTCTTTAATAGTCATACCTAAATCTCCGGCAGATTTGATGTCAATATTATCAAAACCACTGCCAATTCGGACAATTATTCGAAGTGCTTTAAATTTCTCCAGGTCTTCTCGTGTTAAAGTGATAGTGTGATACATCAGTGCACCCACTGCTTCATTTAGTACCTATAAATAAAATGGAAGAAAAAAATACTTATTTTTTTTTTTCTTTCATAGGCTGCCACCTTAATCACATACACATACTTCCAGGTATAAAATGCTTGTAAAAGCATTAAATCCATGTCTTTTGTTTTAAAAGTTATTTCTCCAAATAACTTCCAGCCTATTGTTAGTCTGTTTCATCTGATGTATCCATCTACCATGATGAGATTAGCTTTAGGAGAACTAGGTGATGTGTTGTGTTCTTATTGAGAGGGAAAACTCTTCTCATTTCACAGGAGATGCTCTGCAGTATCAAACTCTCAGTACAAGTGTCACCAGACTGCATCTGCACATGCAGATGAAACGTAAGTAAAAGCACTCACTTTAAACAGTAAGTATTTTTATGCTTAGGCAGCTGACATTCAGTTTTGAATGGAGTCACAGAGGAATATCTCTTTACCAGACACGCAGTGGTACAGCCATTCACTGCGCTATTAAACCACTTGATACCTGAATAGAAAACATTCAGTAATCATTACAAAACCCTTAGACAAAGGGACTGAAATCTGTCAATTCATACATAAGAAGAACGTGTCTGTCCCTTAGTTTACTGATAGTGCGACTAAGCTCTCACTGCTGGAAAACTGGATGTCACATAAATTGGTATAACTGAGGTGTCAAAACAGACATGATCCAGAAAAAACAGCACCTTTAAGAAATTGTACTAAAGCAAAAATGTTGCAACAGAAAAAAAAATACACAAACTTGTCAGAGAGATCAAGCCAAAGAAGTGAAAATAAATTGACAGGTTCTGAAATCTCTGAACATCTTCCAATTTGCATTAGAGTGCATTCAACCTACTCAAGAAAGGCTGAGAGGAAGAGGTGTGGAGAAGACAGCCTAGCACACCATGCCCACTAGTTTCAAATTCTGCTACCAAAAAACCAGTGACACTTCACCCCACACAGCTGATACAGGTTTATTGCCCAGAAAGCAGAAACGATTTTCTTTTCTTTATATGCAAGTCAGACCATTTCACTTCTTCAAAACACTTCTCTGTGCTTCCACCTTCAGTGCACTACCTAACACCCTCATCATTCTACAGGATACAAAACATGCACAAATCATTCCAACCTGGGAGGCAGCTGTAATGACTTCAAGAGCTTCCTATGACGCACTTCACAAGAAGTACTGCAGAGGCTGTAAATTTCTTACTCAATAGATTTTTGGGTACTTATACAGATTCTGTCATCTGCATTATTTCTGCTCATATGAGCATTTTCTAAGGTACTGCAGGACCAGGAACAATAATCAACATCAACATAAATAGTTTAAAAATAATACTGCAGCAAAACACAATTTGCACAAAGAGGATTACAACTGCTGGAAACCAAGACCCACAGCAGAATTAAAATTAAAATACACAAATAAAAAATTTAAAAGAAAATTAAACCAAACCCCATGAAAAAGGAAAGAAAACTGGTTCTTACTGAATATTTCAAAAAATTATTTATGCTTTTCCAACACGTTTCTGGATTCATAGCACCAATTCTAAGTCAGATAAAGACCAGAATCCTTTAAGCAGAATTTGGACTTACTTGTAAGAGTTAAGAACTACAAAAAAAATAAAATTAGAAATTATACATCCTTAAAGAATGCAGCTACAACATAATTCAAAGAACAGCTGTAGGCACTGATCTTATAAATGATTATACACAGAAAACTCCTTGATTCTAATGGTACAAACAAGTCCTTTGGAGATTACATCTAGCAGTCACCAATCTGAAAGACTGCACTCATCAGAACGTGTTTCCTTGAGCTGTTACATAGGGTTAAAACCAACATTTCATTAGTTTTGCTTCTACAGTGACATTACAGTTGGTACAGACCAAATCAAAGCCCATGCCTGGGGCAGTCTACACAAAAAATAGTCCCTCTAATAACCTAAGTTCCCACCTAGAATGCCCTTAGGGTTTTTTTTGTCCCATTAATTCCTAAAAGAAAATTGTTCCAGAATCTCACAGCTTTAACAATATGGAAATTTCTTCTAATTTCCAGCCTAAATTTATTCACAGCCCAGCCTGTAACCATTTGTTCTGGTGCCAGCATTGGTCAACTGCACCTCCTCATCTTGGAGTTTACAATTCAAATGCATTTATAGACAATGATCATATCCCATCTCAGCATTTGTTTGGCTACACTTTGCAAGCCTAGACCTAGTCATGTCCAGGATGATGCCCTTCTATCCCCCAATCAAGTCTTAAAGCTTCTCTACCGTGCTCATACGAGTCTAATCTCAGCTTTCTGTGGGGGATCACAACTGTACCCTGAGTGCTGCTGGAGGTGTCCCTCTGTACTGTGTTACACCAGCACCAGCAGTGTGAACAGCTGCGTATGTGCTGGAAACCCCTCCCAATGAAGTCTCACTTGCTGAGGGATGTTTCTGCACGGCGACTGTCACACTGCGCCAACACATCAACCTCAATCTTCTCCCTGAAGCATGTGTTTCTGCCACACCCCCCAATTTATAGCACAACTTCTTTCTCCAAGGCACGGTGCTTGTTTCTTCAAGCCTCAAGGTCCCCAAGCTGTTAACTGATATGCTGGTTCTCTCCAATTAGTACATCCTCCACTCTGTGTTGTATCACATACACTTCCTCCTGCCCCTCCAAGTTTGCTCTTAGATGGCTGTGGTGCAAGAGAAGACATCCTCTGTGTAGCTGTCCGAACACCAAAAGTTGAAGGAGTTTACACCTTATGAGGACCAGCTTAGGGCTCTCATCTGACAGCCAGACCCTCCCTCTCCCAGACTGGAAAAAGCCAACGGTGTGTCTTCTGTTTGCAGAGAGCTGCCACTACTTTAAGGACTGCATTAAACAGGGGGGGAAAAAAAGACAGCTGAAGTGGCTCAGACATTTGTGTTTTCAAATCACAATGTTTCATTTAGGAAGCAGCTTTTCACTTCATAATCATGCATATTTTATTAACTCAGCCAGTTAAGACTGTAATTTGGACTCTTAACAGTGCTGGTCTGGACCCATTACACTGCATTTTTGGGCCCATCGAGGTTATGGTTTGGCACTAGGAGGAGACAGAAAAGTATTGGGAAGCTTGGGAATGTATTCAATAAAAGGAAAAATATTTCTCAGCTATGGCTTAATGCTGACACTAGCCATTTCCACAGGCAGTTATTTACCCATCATATGGGATATGGAACAAATGGATACAAATGAAAAATATTTTAAAATTTTCTTTTTAGTGTTTCAGCCTCTTCTAAGATTATGCATCAGTTAGCAAGGAAATACACGGCCAAAAATGTAATATTCTGTGACTGTGCATTATTTCACATCAATTTGGCAGTTATGTACTGCTCTTTGCAATCGGCCATGTGATTGAAGTATACCAAAAAGGCAGAAAATAACAGCAGAAAATCTGAAGTTAGAAACATTCATCATTGATGAATGTTAATAATGCCAATTCTAGATTAAAAAAAAATTAACACTGAAAGTTCCTGTATTTTGTTATTATTGGTATAAATGTTATTCTCAGTCATTGCATATGCTAAATGAACACAAGGCAATGCAACCAGCTTGTCAATGAGTAAAATCAAGCTAAATGCGAGCGAAACACATGAAACTGAAACCAGTATAAATATGAACAGTTCTGGAAAACGAAATAATCTTCAGAAAAAAATAACCGTACACAGGAGTAATTTACTGATCACTTACAGAAGCACACCCTGTGGTGGATGCATGAGCAAAACAGAGAGTATATGTGGGTTTTTTCATCATATTCCATAATGAACTTGTTTGATAAAACATTCACCAAGTTCTAAAACAATTTTATTACAAAGGTATCACCTCATCTCAATTTGAGATAAAATACTTAACAAGCAGGCTAGAAATTTCACATCAGCCCAAGCACGGGACAAAGCTCTTTCATGGACTCCTGTCAGGAAAGCCAATGGGCAAGTTGTGGTAAGAGGATAAGCAGAATTAGCCGTGTACCTTCAACAACCATTCCAGCTTTCATCAGACTACAGCTGTGCTTTTTGGGAAGAAAGGATCTGAGATAAAAGTTGAAACATGGGACATGAGTTGGTTTCTGTTACTGTAGCCTAGCTGCATAACTTCTATGTCTTCAGAGTCACAGGTGAAGCTACAGCACACTGCACATTGAAAGCCTTTTTCAAACCCTCTTCAATGAGTTGACATCCTTTCCAATCACAACTCTCACACAAGACCTTCTGCTGTTGTTTAACCTCAAAATGACTACTCTGCTCTCACAAAATTCCAACTCTCCAAAGCTCTTAGAGAATGGACGACACTGTAGTAAGAGACATTTTATTTCACAGAATTTATCAAATCTCAAATAGTGAATATTGAAATCCTTTTGAAACATTTTCCTGTCTATTTTTTTAATCTATTTCAGCACCAGGCTGTTTTAGCCATCATGTCAAACATCGCATAGTAGCCACTGCAACACACATGCTTCATTTCTGGGGAAGAACTCTTAGCATCTTGCCTATTTTTACAAAAAACGCATAAAAATATCATAACATGCTAAGAATAGAACAATGAGGCTTCCTTTTCTTTGGTCATCTAAAGATGACTGTAAGATTTTACTATGAGAGACTTATCTCAAAGGCTTGTGGATCAAATCTAGAGTATTGAAACATAACACGGTATGGACAATGCCAAGCTACTTCAAGGCAGAGACAGAATGTATTTATAGATTACATATTGAATATGACAATATATTATCACAATTTTTAAAAAGGTATCTAGAAAACCATACCAGGAAGTCCTGTATTTCATCTAGATCCAGAAACTACAAGGTATTGCACTTCCTGGACTTGGAGGTCAACATGTCATCTCCAAAAAAGTATGTTCTAGTGTCACCATATTTGAGATATTTTGCACATTTGGGTGGAAAACAGGTACTTCAGCTAAACCAAGTAGGCTTTGCTTTATTTGACTTGCAAAAAGCAGCTGCACATCAAATTTGTAATCAACAGTCTACTA